CTACATATATAATACATTAAGTAGTGTGTGTGTGTGTGTGTGTGTGTGTGTGTGTGTGTGTGTGTGTGTATATATCTAAACTCTGGATGGTAATATTTACATAAAATTTATATTTCTATTATTAGCACTAGCTGTTACACAAAACACAGAAACACATACAAAACAAAAATATTAACCATCACCAGTTGTTACCCCGACTCCAATATAAAAAAAGAAAACACAAAGAAACACTTACAGAATACAAATTAACAACATTAGATGAGACACACATATATAACTATACAACAAAAATTACCAGAACATGACCTATAAACATGTATACAATACAAATTACCAGCATTAGATGATACACACAAAACACACACATGAATAACTATAGAACAAACATTACCAAAACATGACCCATAAACGTGTATACAATACAAATTAACAACATTAGATGAGACACACGTGTATAACTATACAACAAAAATTACCAGAACATGACCCATAAAACACAGGAACGTGTACACAATACAAATTACCAGCATTAGATGAGACACACAAAACACACACATGAATACCTTTTGAACAAATATTACCAAAACATGACCCATAAAACACAGGAACATGTATACAATACAAATTACCAGCATTAGATGATACACACAAAACACACACATGAATACCTTTTGAACAAATATTACCAAAACATGACCCATAAAACACAGGAACATGTATACAATACAAATTACCAGCATTAGATGATACACACAAAACACACACATGAATACCTTTTGAACAAATATTACCAAAACATGACCCATAAAACACAGGAACATGTATACAATACAAATTACCAGCATTAGATAATACACACAAAACACACACATGAATACCTTTTGAACAAATATTACCAAAACATGACCCATAAAACACAGGAATGTGTACACAATACAAATTACAAGCATTAGATGAGACATACAAAACACATACATAAACAAGTAAACAATAAAATATTATCCATCACCAGATGTTACCAACACATACACAGGAACAAGTATACAACAAAATATTATCCATCACCAGGTGTTACCAACACATACATAAACAAGTAAACAATAAAACATTATCCATCACCAGGTGTTACTAACACATACACAGGAACAAGTATACAACAAAATATTATCCATCACCAGGTGTTACCAACACATACATAAACAAGTAAACAATAAA